GCCAGGCTGCCTTCAGCAGCTGACTGGAAGAAGGCAAAGCTGTTTCCGTCATCCCCCGGATGCTGAGGCAGTTTTGTGGGGGAGCAGGAATCAGTGCCGTTGGCAGTGGTTGTCATTTCACGGTTCACGGCATCATCCAGTTGCGGGTGTTGCTGCTGCTGCAACAGTCCCCACTGGGGGAAACTGCGATCTGAAAAGTTCTCAAAGGTTGAACTGGCCTCAGTTTTGATCATCCAGTTTCCTCCGTGGTACTGCGGTTGCGGCGGTGGCTCCTGTCGAAATACTGCGTCAGCCGCTTGAAAGGCCGCTGCTGCTGCCGCTGCCGTTGAGTATTCCATCGCAGAGGTTGCAGGGGCTTGTGAGAAGGTCTCATGTTGGGCCATGTACCGACTTATATCACCTTCGGCAAATGGATACTCAAAGGTCGGCAAAGTCAAAATGTGTCTTTCTGGTGGGGTGGGTGCTGTCGGGGGAAGAAATGAGAGCGGAGACATCCAGGAGGACATATCTGTTTTTAGAGGCAGTGGTGGTACAGAGGGTGACGAGCAGGCAGGGGTGTGCTGGTATTGGTGGTGGTACTGGTTCAGATCTTCCGGAAGGCTGTTGAAGAAGGGAGCCGTATCAGTGGGCAGCTGGAACCCGGGTAGTACTGGGACTGCCGATTGGTTAGAAAATAGGAAGGATTCACGAGCGCTGAGGAGGGAGGGGGACTGTGGACCAGGCTCCGAGAGGAATTTTGCAGGCTCTGGCAGAAGGCCAAGGCTTCCATTCCGAATCGTCCGGGCACCTTAAAATAGATTGTTATACAGCCTGTAAAGAGTTTGACAGATTACACATTGTCTTTAGAAAGAGCTGGACAGTAGCTGTACATACAACCCCATACTCATATCTATCTATTTTCTGGAGCCTATATTTAATTCAGGAATATTACTTAAATGGGTTTTGATAATGCTTATTTTACACCATTATCCCAAAGTATCTCAGTCATGACAAGATATACGCTTTTTAGTGAACTGTGTTCGACCACTCTGTAAATTATGACTATGTATGCATCTGAATCCTTCTTGTTCTTCGATGCCCTTACAAATCCTATTCAGTTATTAATGTTGCCTATAAAGGGTACAACGCGGTCCACATCCACTCGACGTCTTCCTCATGCCGTGCTGAAATGCGTGGCATGCTTTATGCGAAATGTATGCAGCATGCAGGTTGTAAAGCCTATGTAACGACAAATCGGGGATCAGAATTATTTGAAAGTTGGGACCATTTTTAAAACCAATATCTACCCTTTCTTGGGGTTCAGAACTTGAAGCGCATCTACTTTGTCACAAATTTAGTACAAGAAAGGATAATTCCGTGTATGTATTCTATAAAACATATTTGCATTTATAAGGGCTTCAAAATTCATTAATAAAAAATGCACACTACTTAGGTAGTATGTTTTTACTGTGTGCTGCTTTTGCAGGCGGCCAGAAAGGGACTAGTTCGAAAGCCAACATCCGGACTTGAGATAGGAAATCTTCCGTACTAGTCGTCGCACAGTCTCAAAATGTTTTCAATTGAAAACAAGCTCTACTAATCTAAAGTCACAAAGAGGACTGCAAGGAAAAGAAACTCCAAGTCAGATGTTATTTCTAGATATCTGCGCACATTATTCAATGAAAAAATTTTACCTAAGTAATCTATACTTCTTCACCCTAAAATTTTAAAAGAACCGATGTTTGCAATTATTTACGAAGTGGATTCTCGAAAGCCCACACCCATAAATTGGCCCTCCGATACAACGCCTTCTTTGTAATTATCTGTGGTCCACCTGCGGGTGCCCCATGAACTCCCAGAATTAAGTACTCTCTCGCTTCTAGCCGAACATTCGCAGCAGGGAATTTCGGACACTTCTTAAAAAATGATGAATTAATTTGTATAAGCACCAAGAAGTAAACACGTCGGCTTACGTCGGAAGTTTTTTTGTGTGTGTAATTTACGTATACAGCGGTATACCTATGCCAAAAGGCATTCAACATGCTAGCCCGTAGGCATTTGCTTAGAAAGAAGTCTCCTTCTAATCATCTAGCAACGTCCACTAAATCATATTTTCGGTAAGACACGGAATTACAAATTTTCCATGCCTTGCGTTGCTTTGCAAGCATATTAGACCTGGAGTTGAAGAAGGCCTATAATAAAGGTTTAGCGGTAAGCATAAGTTTACGAGTTCTAATTCCGTAAAGCTTACTTTTAGGGTTAGTAGTTCAGCCAGGGAAAGGGTACCTTTCCTATAATGCTTCGCATACTCACCTTTATAATTTGAGGGGGTGAGGGGTTCCGCATCATTTAGATACCTTGTGCGTATAAACGCAATTAGTAAATTCCTAAACCAACCAGGGTCATTACCTCCAAAACACCTTATTCTCGGGGCCTTTTCAATTGGTCCTTTGGTACACATTTAAAACCGATCATTTCGATCAAATGCGAAAATACTGATAACCCAGAATAATCTTTTTTCCATTGTTGCGCCCGCAGATACGCTGCTGTGGTTTTGGTCTATATTACGGTTTACGCCGTATGTAGAGTACCTGAGCACTCTTTGCTTATATATCTTTACGTAGTGAAATTTGAATGTGCAGGCCATGTCATGGTAACCAGAGGATGCCCT